CCTGTAGATTGTAAGGTCTACAATGTGTGGGTCAAGCCCATAGCAAGGCCTAGTGTCAACCACACATGCATGCACGTGCACACACACACAAGCCCTGTACTGACACATAACATTGGTCTTGATCTTGGTTCCATGGGTCAAACCTCTTTCACAGCTCTCTTTTTTCCCACTCTCCATCCACTTTGACATTTGCTAGCACTGAACACACTCAGACACTCTCCACTGGTCTCCACAGAAGCTGGCCCAGAAGCCAGCTTCTCCAGAAGCCCAGACTATGCTCAGAATACGTGCATGCCCCATGCCTGACAGTGAAGAGTATAGATAGTACCTTAGATAGTACCCTTAATAATATGTTTTAACTGTTGGTTAGTCCTGAAGGTGTCAGGTAGTAGGACTTGATGAACTTTAGAAGTCCCTTCCAAATGACCTATTCTATTCTAAAAGTTAGGAAATAACATTGAATAAGAATAGGTTCAACTGCAATGATCATGCACTTAGTCCGCATAGCATTCTGGAGAGGGATTTTTTCTTTGACTTTTTTAAACCAGCACCATGGTTGGTCTGATCCTTCTCTTTTGGTGCCGATTGGGTGTGCTCCCTGCTCTTGTTTCTTGTCCTTGTTGGCCTGTCACGGTTCTTCTGGTTGTCACCTAGTCTCCGTGGTTAATCTCATTATCTTTTCATATGAAAATCTAGTGCATGGAACTGGAAAACACCTCCAAATTCCGAAGTCTACTCTCCTATCACTAGCAATAACATCAGATAATTATCTCCATAAGTTAAGTTCCATCTTAGAAGTAAGGTTTTTTTGGTTACTGAAGTGGTTAGAAAGTTATTTCAAATCCCTGATGCTTTGAATTTAGAAATTATGTTCTGATTTCCATCCTAGCTGTAATAATGGCCTGTCTACATCCATTTGTTTTTCTGCCAACATCGTCCAGTAGATTAAATTGTTTTCTTTCTGTGGTCTGCATTTCCCTCGTATAAATAGTGATGATATCCCATTGCAGCCTTCTATTTACTGACCTAAATAATCCAAGTTCTGTTAGGCTCCTCTCATCTGAAAGACTTTCTGTTCCCCTGATCAATTTCAAGGCTTTATGTTTAAACAAAAGGAATAAAAATTACACTGATTCCCCCAAACACAGAATTAGACTGAAAGAACCTAATGATAGTGTCTCCATCCTAATGAAATAATGACTTAGAGCCTCTTCAGTATTTTGATTTTATAAGATATTTGGATTTACAATGTCTTAGCTATTTTGTAGACAGTTATAAATAATAATGTTTCTGAGATATAATTGAATTTGACAACTTTAATGAAAAGGGAGATGATAGTTCATATGGATCTTTGTTAAGCAGCTTTCATATGATTAACACAGAAATTAATCATCTTTGAGCACTGCCTTATGGATCAGTTGCATCTTAATACAATGATGTAATTAATAGTAATGAAATATATTTTGTAAGATACTTTGTCTCTAATTAGCTAATCAAGATGGCATTGGAGCATGACTTAAACAGACACTTCACAAATAAGCCTTGACCTGTAGAGACATCTACTGCATTTTGATTGCTGTCTCAACATCAGCTTGAAAAATTACAGTCAAGGGTAATGAAAATTAAGGAAATATGAACTAGTCTAAAAACTGAAGTAAACCATCTTGATGACAGAATCAGATGCAGGAATAACCCTTGATTAGGAGATACTAAACAAAAACCTACCCAACTTAAAGCTGGGACTTGTCACCTTAATGCTAGCAAGCTATGATGTGTTTATATAAAACACCAGAGGACTTGAGGCCATCATATCAGCCAGACCCAACATCTGAAAGTCAGCTTTTATCCATCTGTGTGTGAGACCAGTTGCTGACAGCCATGGACTGGGAAGGGCCAGCAGGCCAGCAGCCTGTGTGGTGCCTGTCACCCCATGACTGTCCCAGGGCATGGGGCCTTCTTGTTGCAATGGATTTGTTCTCAATCAGTGTGAGGATGGAGCCAACTTGGCATGCTACAACTCACTGTTAAATCACTTCCTTGAATGCTAGATGCAGAGGAACTTATTTTGAGTCATTTACTGGGACTGAGTTCAATTCTCTTTTAAATGGCAAATAATCAAATAAGCTTAGCTACACAGTGAGATGTGAAGTTTCACTGTAGGGTTTCTTTAGAAACACTGACAAGTTGGCCCTCTCCAGCTTTACCTCTGTGCTGTGTAGGGATATCCAAAGATAGCCTTTTCAGAAAGGTTTTTGAAAAGGCTCTGAAATAACTATTTATTTATTTATTTATTGTTATTAGAGTAAGAATTATTTTCAGTTTTAGTGGTGATTTGTGTTGCTGTCCGATGTGATTTCCTGCATAGGGAGACAGCACACACTGTCAATATGTCCACAGAACAGGCAAAGTCTTGAAGCACCATACCCCTGCAGCCCCCTGTGAAAAAGGTGTACCTCCATCAAAGCTGCAGGAGAAACGGCAGATACAATTTAAGATTAAGGCTAACCCAACATTTATTTCTCCAGTAGGTTCAACTGCGTGGTCAGTGGAGCAGAAATCCAGTTGAAAAGCTGTTAATAATCAAGCGTCTTTCTTGGGTTACACACTCAGAACCAATGGCAGCATCATGGCAGTGCAGTGAATCAAAAGTCATTGAGTTTTGTACCTGACATCCCACATGAGCAACTTTTCACAAACGTTGTTGGAGTCAAAAGGCACAGCTGACAAGTACGTGAAAGCACAAGAGAAAATGGCAGGCATAGCAGCCAAGAACCAGCGTGACTGAGATGTCAGGAAGAAAACCAAAGTTCTTCATGTAGAAGTAGTAGTACTGAGCTTACAAAACCAGGCCTATGCCTAACCAGTGAAATATATTTTTTTCACAGCTATACTACCCAACAGAGGGCTGCTGTAAACATCCACACTCCACTTATAAAGAGGCACAAGGACCAGGCAACAACTCTACATGTACATTACTTAAATGAACACACGTGCACAGCATCAGCCACCATTAGGTTCTCCACAGCACTTTTATGCATCATCCTGTACACTGTGTATACACTTTAGGAAAAGCAGAATTAGGCTTTGCAAACTGACACGTGAAGTGCTGCATCCTGATTACCTGAATCTGTTGGAAGTCTTCCAGATTGCTTTCTAACATCAGTGTTACATCAGTCTTATCACCACCACACTTCATTTGTGCACAGAGACAGGACTACAATATACAAATAGGACAAAGGGGAAATATAAGAAAGGAGTAGAATGGCCATTTCTTTTTTCTATCAACACTATTTAAATAGCTACTCCAGGCTCAAGTATCAAAATTAATCCCAGTGTACAGATTTCGTCATTCCCCCATTCCTCAATATAATGCTGTAAAAGAACAGACAAAAGGAATGTCCAAGCAACTCTGAAGTTGTATAGATTTTGTGGATCCCATGTCTGGTTCACAACTGGGAAATCTCTCAGGCTTTCAAGTGTTTTGAACTTTACTATTTAATATTTATTATCTTGTGATAGTAAAATGCAAAGTAGCATCTTTCCCTCTAAAATAGGTGATACACATGAAAGATACCTTTTATGTACGTTTATCTGTTGACTTCAGGATTTATAAGTTAGTTTTATAAAATAGGTAAAATATAGTTTTATTTTAACTTTCAAACTACTCATTACATAGAAAGGCACATTTGTTCAGTAAGCTAAATATGTATGAATCTTACTTTCCCTCAGGGCATGGGATCTGATACTCAGAAATAACCTCTCTTGGTGGGAATCATTTCTCAAGTAACCATTCCGTGAACAAAATCCCAATCTGAGTGATGATTAAAAAGATATAATTCCATGCAGGTGGGGAGGCAAGAAACCACAAGGGCCAAAAATCAACATAGTCTGAGTAAGTACTGTAGTTCTTCCAAAATTATGAAGTTGGTGAGATTTGTTAATTTGGTATCCAATTTGTCTTCTATCATCTAGAGAATCCTAATGCTGTAAACACATAAGGTACATTGGCAAGAACAGAAAGGCTAAAGAGAGTGTACTCTCTCTGATAAATGAGAAAGAAGAACTGGTAACAACAGAGATGGAGAAGGCTGAGGTATTCAACAACTTCTTTGCCTCAGTCTTCATTGCCAGTCAGGCTTCCCACATCTCTCATTTCCCTGAACATTAAGATGAGAGCTGGGGGAGAAAAGTGCCTCCCACTGGAAGCAAAGAGCAGGTTTAGGACCACCAGATGAAACTGAACAGGTTCAAGTCTATGGGGCTCGATGCCATGCAGCCCAGCATCCTGAGGGAACTGGATAATGTAGTTGCCAAGTCTCTCTCCGTCATATTTGAAAAGTCCTGGCAGTCAGGTGAAGTCCCTGGTGACTGGAAAAAGGGAAACATCACTCCAATTTTTAAAAAGGGTAGAAAGAAGGACCTGGGCAACTACAGACCAGTGAGCCTCACCTCTGTGCCTGACAAGATCATGGAACAGATCCTCCTGGAGATGACCCAAGACAGCCAGTCCAGCTTCACCAGGGGCAAGTTGTGCGTGACCAATCCGGTGGCCTTCTGCGATGGAGTGACTGTTTCACGTGACAAGGGAACGCTGACTGATGTCATCCACTTGGATTTCTGCAGGGCCTTTGACATGGTGTTATATGACATCCTGGTCTCCAGACTGGAGAGAGATGGGCTTGAAGAATGGACCATTCAGTGGATAAGGAATTGGCTTAAGGGCCTCACTGAGAGAGTAGTATTCAATGTCTCTATGTCCAGGTAGAGGCCTGTGATGGAGTGGTGTTACTCAGGGGTCTGTCTTGGGACCAGTGCTGTTTAATATCTTTATCAATGTGATAGTGGGATCTAGAGCACTCTCAGCAAGTTTGCAGATTACACCAAGCTGAGTGGTGCAGTCAGCACACCAGAAGGAAGGGATGCCATTCACAGTGGGCCCACGTGAACCTAATGATATTTAACAAGATCAAGTGCAAGGTACTGCACCTGGGTTGGGGCAATCCCAGACATGAGCACAAACTGGAAGTAGAACTCATTGAGAGCAGCTCTGAAAAGGAAGACTTGAGGGTTCTGGTGGGTGAAAGGCTTAACTTGAGCCAGAAGTGCACACTTACAGCTCAGGAGGCCAACTGCATCCTGGGATGCATCAACAGAGGAACAGCCAGCAGGTCAAAGGAGGTGACTGTCCCCCTATGCTCTGCCCTTGTGATGCCCCACTTGGGGTGCTGCATCCAGGACTGGGGCCCCCAGCACAAGAAGGATGCGAATCTGTTCAGGTAGGTCCAGAGGAGGGCTGTGTAAATGCTCAGAGAGCTGGAACATCTCTCCTATGAAGAAAGCCTGAGAGAGCTGGGGATATTCAGCCTGGAGAAGAGAAGGCTCCAGGGAGACCTTATAGCAGACTTTCAGTACATAAAGGGAGCTTATAAAAAGATTAAGAACTTTTTACCTGGGCAGATGGTGATAGGACAAGGGGGAATAGTTTTAAACTAAAAGAGGGGAGGTTTAGATTAGATGTTAGGAGGAAATTCTTCGCGCAGAGGGTGGTGAGGCCCTGGCACAGGCTGCCCAGAGAAGCTGTGGATGCCCCATCCCTGGATGCTCAAGACCAGGCTGGATGGGGCTTTGGGCAACCTGTTCTGGTGGGAGGTGTCCCTGACCATGGCATTGGTGTTGGAATGAGATGATCTTTAAGGTCCCTTCCAACCTAAGCTGTTCAATGATTCTGTAAAACCATCCAAAGACCATCTTCATATTTTTCCCGGGGTTCCCTATGTTTTGTACAACCCTTTTAGCCCACTGATCATCTTCTAGCTACGAGTTCTATAGAGAGATACAAATCCCACTCTGACACGCTGATTGAATTAAATTCTAGCCCTGAGTTAATTAAAATTCTAAACATATTTTAGTAAGAAAGTTTTCCCACTGCCTACATTGAAACCCATTATTTCGATCTTTTAATATTCTATCTTTCAGGTCTTTTTCAGATATATTTGTTCAGGTGGATATCAGACAAACTATTTCTTACCAAAACCAAATGTCAGCAAGGTTTCTATCAAAACTCTTTTTTTAAAAAAAAAATTATTATTGTTTTTTATTGTGATCCTTGGTGATAAGTAGCATTTTCATCACTTGTCCATCACTTCTCTGATGATAGCATGGCTGGCTCTTGTTTTGTCCTCCATTTCTCATTTTTCAGGACAGTATGAAGTTGGTACGATCAGCATTTTATTATTTGTGTGAAACTTATTGTCTATAGAGTAACAGCATTCTAGATATACTGCTGGGAACACAGAAGAAACATGAGACACCTGGAAGAGACTGGGAAAATGAATTGTTCTACAGAAAAAAGGAGCAGTCTCAGAAACCTAGTGTAGGTTTCCCTACATTTTCCTGTTAGAACATGAACCTGGAGAGCTGACTGTTGCATCATCAGGTATTTAGGACAGAGTTCATACTGAAATTCTGATTCTGGGTAAGGGTCCAAGTTATGGCTTTCTCAGTAGTTAAATATGAATATATATACAGGGCTAGGTATATAGGTAACGATTGAAATAGTTGTTCTATTGAGAAGATCTGTGCTGCCTACACAGAGAAACTGAAAATGTTGTAGGCAGTATCTTCCATTAGTTATTTTTGTATTTTCCTAGATAGTTGTAAACCAAAAAAGAACTGATTCTGAAGTCACATAATATTGTTTCAGTTGCTTAGCTTTAATTTTGCTCAAACATAGTAACGATATTAAAAAAAAAAACACACACACACGCAAACAAACAAAAAACAACTCAATTGAGATAGAAAAAGGTTGTTAAATATTCTTGTTTGTGGATTTTATTGTTTAGCTTTTAAAAGATGTTTTTAAAATATTTTCCTCAATATTATTCTTGATAGTTGATTTGTGTTTTTTGTTGGGATTGTGTTGGATGATTTGGAGAGCATCTTGGGTAAAGTACTTCCTAGTTTTAAAACTTTAAGATTTATTTTCTGTAGGTGTCTGAAATATACTGATCTATCAGTTAAGAGCTGTTGCCACTTCAGAAAAGCAACAGATCCTACTTTGACAAAACAATCAATTCCCTGAATCCAAATATGGCAGCTTGTAATTATGAGTAGCATCCTTTAAGTTGTATTTAGACTTCTTATTTTTACTGGAGAATAGCTTTGATTTATTTGCAAAGGGGAGCTGTGATAAAATTTGATCTGGCAGACAGAAGGATTGTTTTTACAATATGAAGGTTTTTACAATACCATAACTCTTCCTCTGTATGCTCTTTAAGGGAGGTTAGCAAACATTGTTTAAGAGAGCAATTTTAACTCTTGTGTGCAGCATGGATTTCTTCCTTGGGAAGGCTGTAATATAAAAGTTCTCATTGCTTGCTGTGAATTTTTCTCTATTTTAATTTCTGTAATATTTCAACTAGTTATGAGGAAATTTATCTGAGTACAGCCTTTTTCAGGGTGTAGGTTCAAAGAATAAACCCTTTATGGACAAAGACTGTGCAGAAAGCAAGGCTAAAGACAAGGAGCTCTGCTATTGTCTGTCATATGCATAGAAGAAATGGATGAAGAACTAGGGAAGACACTGAATTTTAAACTCAATTGTGAAGGAAAAATAGCTGCACAAATGATATGCAGATTCTTAACTAATGTACAGGGATTTAAAGTCGCTTAGGTAAGTGGATTTGCAGAAGTTTCCATAATTATGAATTTTTGAGCCAGGTTATCTAGGTCATCATACAATTTTCTTTCAGGACTGAGAAATGGGCTTCAGAAGCATTCATCTTAATGTCAGTGCCTTCCAGCCCCTCTAAGGACTCTGCTTTGGGCAGTGCAGAAAATAAGAACTTTCTTAATTCCGTTCAATTACTCTCTATTACTAACCTAAATGTGTGGAGTCAGTACCTTAGCATATGCTTTTCATGGAAAGGTATGCCTCCATTTAAGTGTACATTAAGAGGGAAAGTAAAAATAGCCACAAATACCGAAAGGATCATTATTATTGATGGACAACCCATACAAAACTTCAACTCAAGCAAGACCCATTGCTTACATGTGTAAGACCAGCTCATAGAGGATGGAGCACTTTCCACAGCATAATCATGACTGTGATGGAAAGAAACTTTTTCTTTTTTTTTTTTCATCTTTATCACCTACTAAATTTAGTGGATTTCTAATGCATCGTCCTTCTCAAGACCTTCTGGAAAAGTCAAAACAAATTCTGTGCATCAGTTCTTGTGATGACATTGTAAATATATCCATCACTTCTGTGCTTGAAGAAAATGTTCTGTGAGACAAAACATACACAACTGACAGATAAGGTCATTTCATTCCTTTTGGACAGCAGGTTACCTAAAATTAAAGAGGTCTTTCACATAATGTGCATTACAGAATGAGAAACATGTCTGTGGTGTAAATGCCTGAAGTAACTAGGAAAATAAAACTAACATTCACACTTTTAAGGAAAAGGTACAGCATTGAAGAGGCTTTCAGGGTAGGGCATAACTGCATTATCTGAGCATTCCCTAGGCTCCCAACCTTAGATGCTATCGCGCTGGGGAAACTTGGTGTGCTAGCTCTAAGGAACACCACGGAGCGTGGAGTGGAGTGGAGACACCACGGCTAGGCTCTGTAATCAGGTGGGGCCTCGATTGTTCTTGTGCACAAAGCTGCACTTTTTGCCACCCTAAGCCAAAGACCTGTCATGTTTTGACAAATGCTGTACCCTAGTGTACTTTTTGCTCATTATAATATCATTATAATACCAAAACACACCTCCATCCCAAAAGCTACCCGCCTCCAAGGTGCGACCACCCTTCACTGAGCATGCGCTCTGAATTTCTCAGAGCCTATTACTTTAAACGGAGACGGGAAAACTTTACACCAATCATAACTAAGATATGCTTGACTAGAGCCACTCAAGCTCCACCTAAAAGATAGAAAATAATATAAATTGGCCCAAGAGAGAGGGGATGTTAGGGAAGATACCATCGTCAGGGGAGATACCATCCCGAGGACATACAACATCCTTAGGACCTCCTGACTCCTGGGATCAGTTGACGGGCTGAGCCTCTCTTCCCCCCCCATTGGGACGCCTTTGGGTGAGATCTGAATATTTGCTTATAAATCTCTATAGAGTCTTTGATCCTTTTAACGCGTTTATTTCTAGGCTGCGCACCTGTAACACCCATAACACCCATAACACCTGTAACACGTGTAACATCTATACCATCTATAACATCTGTAACACCTATAACACCTATAACACCTATAACATCTGTAACACCTATAACACCTGTCACATCTATAACACCTATAACACCTGTGTATTTCATGCATATTAGCTTGCTTTTGCAGACAGTCACTATCGCCGGCAATCCAAAAGAACCTGATTATCTGTTGCTGTAATAAACCATACTTGATTGCATTGTGATAGCTCTCATTAATGCGACTAGGGTGAGGGTGGTTATCCGTGATAGTTCAGTGTTCTGAATCATCTTTCCAGATCCATGATTCAAAGACACCAGCCAAGCAAACAGATAAATCTGATAGCCATGAGTCAGAAATGATTATTAAAAAACAGGATAACTTTGGCCAGTGATATTAGGAGACAGGTGAAAGAGAATGTGTTACTATTTTGTTAAGATTTTTGCCAGGAGTTGCTACTGCTCACCAGTAAAACTATCATAACCACAATTTCTCGTATTTTTTTTTTTTCAGGAATATGATGGTCTCCCACAGAACCTGAACACATATTTGTGATCTCTAAAAAAAAAATGTCACTCAATCTGACAGAACAGGGTACTGACAGGGAAGTGTGGCATGCCTTTCCTTCAAAATGATAAATCTATAGATGAAAAGGCAAGGATATTTCATATAAATTGATATATTGATATGTATATACAGACAAAGAATGATCTGAGCTGGAACCGCACATACTTCTTTCAGTCTCACCTACTTTGCATGTGTTTCTTCTAAAGTCCTCCACTTCATGAGGACCCTTGCCACAATGAAAGGATCACTTCATACAAAGGCTGGACAGCTTGTTTGTAAATTACACAGTGTGCTGTCCTGTGCTCAGAGCATAATCCTGTAAGTCAGAAGATGAAACTGTAAGAATAACTTTTATGGAATAATTTTCACACAGTATGCTAACTCTGCCCCAGTATTATGACAGTACTTAACTGTATGTACTTATAGATTACTAGGAGAGGACCATCTCCAGATACAGCATGAAGACAAACACCTTACTTAGAGGTTTTATATTCTTATATAGGTTCTTCCCGTGAGATATGTTCATTGGATTCGTGTCAGTATGGAACAGTGATAGGGCCGCATGGTATGATGAATGTGACCTTCTGTCTTACATACCCTTGTATAACCGCAAGTCTCACCTAAACAGAGTGGTTAATGTATATAATTCTTGTATCTTGCAGAGGAATGTTTTAGCAATTCAAGTCAATAGAGAGCTTGAAGAGAATGTATTTGTAGGCTTTTCCCTGAAGTCTCTGATATCTGGGGGAGTTCAGAATAACTGCAAACTATTATGACTATTGCATGGGACAATATGCAAGTCTCTGATATCTGGCCAGGAGATTAAGGAGACGGGGAGAGCTGAAGAACGACTAAAAGACAAAGCTTGCAGGGGATGTTGCACAAGTCTCTGATATACAACCAAGTTGGACAAAGGAGAAGGACAAGAGGGAGGAAGACTATGAGCCTTCAGCACGAGAGACCCTCAGAGGGACCACCAGAGACTGATACGCGTGCTCCAGTAGGAGGGTTTGGATTCTGGAAACTGATTATAATAACCCTGTTTTTTTTTTTTTTTTTTAGAAGTAGTAATGAATATGTATTAGCCTAGGAGCATAAAAATCAGCTGCTTGATGTAGCTGGTGTGCATCTTGGTGGAGCAGAGACTCCCGGCGCACCCAGCGCTGTTTGCTTACCTCTATTCCTTTAATAAATTGTAAACTTTGATTATAGTCCTGTTTTGAAGACTGAGCCATTTATTACATTCCCTTCCAAGTTCAGTTTATCAGCCTCCCTGACTTTTGGTAGGGTAAGTGTCTTGACCTCCTAGATACCTGGCCTGCCTTCTGTCCCTTTGAAAATTAGAAAAGGCTAGGAAGGTACTTTGAACTCAGGTGGAAAAAATATTATGGCTCAGACTGAATTATCTAGGTATTTGTGTTCTGTTTTACCACGGGTTGTTGATCCTTCTCAAGTTATAGCATGATCAATAATATCTAGTAATACATCAAATTCTACCACTTCTGCACATCAGTGTTTAAGCCACTAAATAATCAAGAACCAACGATACAAAATAAATATATGCTTACTCCAAGCACAAGTGCCAAGCTGAGAGCCTCTTAAGTGTAAGCTCTTTATAGGTTAAATAAGTTGTTGCAGTTCTATACAAAAACAGTAATGCATGTTCCTTGTGATGAGTCAGGCATACTGACCTCTCAGCTTCTGCACACGGGGACACTGGATAATAGATGAAGGTATAATTTCTTCTGCACGTAGTATTAAAATGGTGAAAAGCAGGATGCCTTACCTGACCTAGATTCATAATTATCTCCAAGGCACATTTTGTAGACAAGAGAAGGCAGAAAGGTTATAAATGTTGCTTTATACCTTTTTAGTGATACAGAGAATAAATTGACCTAGCCATATAGTGCAGTGATGTGTTTTTCTCAACTGCCACAATGAATATGAATGTCACTATCAAGTACATATCGACTCCCAGTTTCTGAATGACAAAGACAAGATGAGCAGCACCTAGAGATTAATGGGACACTGAGAAGATTTGAACATGTCTGTTTCTGGGAAAAGAATACAATAATAAAGCAATTATATTCATGTTAAAAGCAGAGCTACATTCTTCTTAACGGAAGTACTGAAGGGACTTCAGTAGTATTTCCTCAAGTCTAAACTAGCTTTAAATATTTGCCCTATTATTTTAAAGCAGGTTAAATCAGGAGTGCTAGGGATGAAGAGATGACGCAGCTGCAATAAAGCAGCATTTAAAGTACTGACAGTGGCAGGTGTGGGGGTGGCAGGAATGAAAGGATTCAAAAATCAGAAGAGAAGAAATATGCCAGGCAAACTAGCTCTTCTTTAACCTCAGTGCCACTTTCTCTTTATATTTCCAAGCTGCATATACTCTTGAAAACTAGACTCCAAAATGGAAGCTAGAAGCATCACTACCACAGGACTGAGCATAAATACAACAATGGATTTTATCCTTGTTTTTCCATAGGGATGTTTCAGGTATAAAAGGCTGGCTGAGATGCAGAAAGCTGTAACTGAATAATCTTCAGATAACCTTTCACCTGTATTTAGAAGAATCTTTTTGAGATATTAACACGAGTAATAATAACTGATTTCCTTCAGTTTTATTTGTCTCTATCATTAATAGCACCCAGTCTATAACTTGCCACTTCTGTGACAGAATGATAACGCAGACAGATCTGCAGCCAGTTTGCAATCTACTGCTAGCTCCGTATCTTTTCCTGCCAGGATAATGTCTAACCACTTACTCTTCATTTTGTATTTATTCACTTTCTTTCTCTTCTTTAAATGTAGATCTTTGCTCTTGCCTCTCCTACTCTCTCTCTCTCTGTGTTCTCTCCCTCTCTCCTGTGCATTAAGATCATTTTGAATTCAGATCCCATCCTTCATACCGCTTGTCATCTGTCCTAGCTTGGAGCTGTCAGCAAATTTCATAAGCATACCTTCTCTTCCATCATCCAGGTGGCTAATGAAAACATCAAATAGTTCTGTCTCCAGACATATTCCCCTGGGACCCCATTAAGATGCCTTTTTGACAGCAAACTTCTGAGAGCAGCTTTCCAACCGACTGTGTCCACCTAGCTGTGCTTCCAGCCAGACCACGCTCTGGTTCAAGGTAGGACTGTCAAGCGGGACCGTGTAGGAAATTTTATTATGGTCAAATTCTTCTCCCCATATTATCCCTTAGAGCATTTCCTGTCACATAAGGAAATACATCCATTTCAAAATTATTTTTTCTTTATTGTTTTTCTTTACACATTATCTTTTAAGACCTTATTGGTTGAGTAGTATTTTCTTCTGGAACTAGAAGTTCACTCTGTTTGCTGGTAGATGAACACTTTGGTGTGATTTTTATCATTTATTTGTTTGTTCAGTTATTGTAGACAGAGAGATAGGGCAAAACCACCAGATTAGATACATGTTCTCATGTTCGTCACCCTGTTAAATGTGCTACAGTCTACTCATAGTAACTATTAGGTTTGCATGCCAGTAAGATCTATTTCAGCATTGTTGACCTTTACCATGAATCAGTACTTTGCTTTTTCATATGTAAATCAATATATGTTGACATGGTTCACTAACAGAATACAGAGGAAACATATGATTAAAATCAAAATCAGAATCAAATATTGTCAATATTTTTAGAGCTTGAATATGATTTATCTTATAAATTGGATTTTCTTCAGAATCCAGTCTTTTTAAATAAACTTTCATCAATAAAAAAATCTCAGCTGAAGGATAATATGTATACTCAGGACAGAAAAGAGAATGGGGTAAATGTCTGTTTCAGCTCTGAGATTTAAACATCATAAGCAAAAGTTTGATTTTCAATGGGGGATTTTGCTATCACTTATTGTTTCATACAACATTATTTTTTGATTTGTCATCCACTTAGTTTGAAATTAAGACTGCTGGGCCACAGACAGAATACAGGCCTGACCCTGACAAAGTCTAAAAGCCATCATAAGCTGGAGATAAGGGAAGCAACAAGAACCGGGTTTGTTCAATGCTATTTGTACTTTTTCATTCAGCTCAAGATGAAATCATGCGGGCCAGAAAAATCTATTTCAAAACTCATCCATCTGGATGAGAGCCAAAGAGATCAGAAAAATCTGGTGCAATCCATATGCAGAAAAATAATAAATACCTGAACTACCAGCTATTTTTGCAGCTAAGCAGTGAGAGAACATGTAAGACAAAACACTATCAAGCACATCTCTTTCCCGTGAAAGATCTCACAAAGATGCAGTCATATCACCTTTTGAACTTTACACTTTGACTGAGACTTTAGTACTGTGATGGAACAGTCATTGAAGACCTGGCTACAGTTTTCTATTGTCTGTATTGCTCACAATTCAGCTGGCAAAACTGATAAAGATACATTACAGGGGTGTTTCTGTGTTTGTGGTTGGAAGCCTTTAGACTTCAAAAGAGTCTGTAAACTATTTTTGTCTTTTAAAATGTAGACATTCATCCGATTGCATTAGCACTGCTGGTGAGTCAGGAAGTGTTGTTCTCCAACATTTCACTTGCTGATCACCATTCTGCGAGCTTTACTAATGTTTCAAGAGAATGCTTCCTCTTGTAGGCACTACATTAGCATGACCAACATAATGACTATATCCTCTCCAGAGGTTCAGTCTTGCTGAGGGCAGAGAGGGGAGAAATGACTTCAGTACTCCCTTAGCTTTGGGGATTATACTCACAACGGAGAATATTCAACAGGCATCATTGCTTGGAAAGAGGGCACAGCCTTCTTGATCCTGAATCCCCAGGCATGAACAAGAGCTCTTTCCTGGGCCTCTCTGTCCCCTGGAGACACTCTTGTCTCATATGGAAGAAAGCTCTGTGGAGAAAGAAGGAATCTATTATTTTTTTTTAGTAGGAGTTTTTTTTTAGAAAGGAGTTCCTTTGAAAAACTGGGGAAAAATAGTATTCACAGAAGTACGTCTCTTTTGTGATTTAGTGAGAAGGCCACAGGCTCTGTTTTAATCCATTTCCAATAGAGTAGAGCTTATATGACACTTCACTTTTTCATTCAAGTAATGCAGTTTGCTGTCTGCTTACTGCTGAGCTCTTATGAGAACCTGCTGCTCACTGCAGACTGATAAATCTTGCTTTAGCTGGGGGTCTTAAATAAAGTAATGAAATTTTAGAACTACTTTAAAACTGTGGTCAAAATACTGGCTGCACCTATTGTTATCTGTCTGTCTCCTTGGAGTAGGTGTCCTTTAGGGCTTTAGGATATCCAGAAACTTCATAATTGGAAAGCGTTTTCCCAGGTAGCCCAGAACAGAATCTCAACATCAAGACCAGCCTCTGACTTCATGGGGTACCATGATGTTTTGCTGGAAGTCATCATCCAATACTATCTCCCTGGAGAGGACAAAGTGTTGTTCAATCCAATTAGGCTCCACAATGACATTTCTTCAGTGTACATCTAGTTTAAAGTGTGAAACCTCTGTTTATCCAGACCAAGCCAATCATTAGTGCTTTATACTTGTTTTCTCTCAAAGCACATCTCCCACCAGAGTATGCAGCTCTCCAGGGTAAGATCACATTGCAGTAGCTGTTGGAACCTCATAGTCACAAACAAACACTCACCTGTTAAGAAAGATAATGTGGCAATAATGTGGCATGAGGGGACACAGATATCCAGCCTTAGTTACAGCTCTTCAGATAACTGGCTGCGAAGTAAAATCCTTTTCTCCCTTTGCTGACATAGGCAGGCTTGAGGCTATTCAGTTTATCCTGTTACAGAGGAATGGAGATAATAGATCAGACCAGATCAACTCAATCTCCTTTCCTCAGCAAAAAGGAAATGTGGAATAAACTGCACTATGGTATGCCTTCTCAACCCACATATTAGAGATATCACCCTGATGCACGACCTTTCACCTTTTAATAGCTTTTACCAGCACAGTGTGATTAGCCATGCCAAAAATCCCATCCTTTTTAAACTCTCATGACCACCTTGTCATTTCACTGCCTGTCCCTATGATTAGCTGTGGTATGTGTGGGTAATTGAAGAGGTGGGAACATTAGGGCTTCATACATGTAAGAAGGCTGAGAAGAACTTGTTAGTGACAAGGTTGCCCTGTCCAGTTCAGAAGTGGGTAGGCATAAAGTGCACACCAAATGGTTCCATTTCAGAACAGAGAATGCAAATATGGAGTGAGACTGTTTCAGCTCATCTCACTTGTTGAATGGAATATAGAACAAAAGCATGAATGTGCGACTGCATCACCACTAAAAATAGAACAGTGAGTTCAGAGAGGATGTAAAATGCAGTATTTCTATCAGAAAAATGCTAATAGTTCAAGCTGCAATAGGAAACTGAAAAGGCCATAAGGACTACATGAACTGTCAAAATGTGTGCAGCACAGGCTGTGAATAAAGATTGTGATTAAAGCTAATTGACAGGCAATTTTCAACAGACAGAGGAATCAAGGGATCCAGTCTCTGATAGCAGTATAGCTTTTCCTTTTGACTGAATTCATCCTTTACAAGCTATTTTTTTTTAAGTTGTCTTAGTTTACTTCTCCTCCTCCCAGTGAAGATTTCACTTCAAATATCAGCTGGGATAAATTTCAGTCATGGTCTTCAGAACTGTTATACCCAGAGGACGATTCTCTTAGAGCTTTTTCCACCATTTCACCTGGTTGTCAGCTTGCTTCCATGGGTCTGCCTTCAAAGACAGCCAAATCAGGTAATATATATAGAGATAACTCTTTTTCTTCTGTTTTGAAATTACGCTTCTTCAAAGACAATTCAAGATTATTTTTTTTTAGTTTTTTTATTTTTTTTCCCCCAGCATGCGGTATTTACATTACCCAGTCTTGCCAGGGGTAGTTTTGAGGAGCTGCTTTCTACTATCGTCTCTTTCTGGGATGTGTACATTTCTGCATGCTTTATTATTTCTAGCTAGCTACAGTCTGCCGAGACTAGTATATTTTTGTAATTTACAGTAAATCACTCCAAGCTCCAGAGATTTCCAGATATACATTTGCTTTACAGCATTTCCCAGTTAGTTCATCTGTGAATTTGATTAATATGTAATCCTGTGCTCCATACACTCAGTTTGTTCACCTGTTAAGAAGAGAGTAAAAGATAGGACTTAGACTGAAATCTGTGGTCTCACTGTATGCAGCAGCCTTGCCTTATGGAGTCCTTAATTTAAATGTATCAGGGAGACAAAAAAAAAAAAAAATCAATCAAAAAAAAAAAACAATACTAACAATAAACCTCTTCGATAAAACTTGCCTAATGAGCACGTTGATATACTTAACATGCAGCATCACTGATCAACAGAACAACATTTAATTAAAGATAATTATATATCAATTGCTGTCAGAGATACTTTAACTGTTGTATTTCAAAAAGGTTGGGAACTATTAATTAATTCAGTGACTTGGATTTTTCCTTCCAGATCAAGTGGGTGAAAAATTACTGGTCTCACTGCGATGACCCTCATTAATATAGTGGGATGCCAAAAACATATTTTGGCCTAGTTCCAATGTGTAACAACTCTGTTAAAACAGGAATTTCAGAGGAGTTTAAGTACCTAAAATATAATTTAAGTGGACCTCAGAAGCCTAAACTAAAACTGCAACACAGCTATATTAGTCCCCCACATATCTGGGACTGCACACTTCTTTTTCTCTAGCACCCTTACCAACACTTGCATGAAGGTGTCTTTCAGTTAACATAGAGTCATAGAATCATAGAATATCCCAAGTTGGAAGGGACCCATAAGGATCATCAAGTCCAACTCCTGGCACCACACAGGTCTACCCAAAAGTTTAGATCATGTGACTAAGTGCAGAGTCCAATCGCTTCTTAAATTCAGACAGGCTTGGTGCAGTGACTATGTCCCTGGGGAGCCTGTTCCAGTCTGCAACTACCCTCTCTGTGAAGAACCTCTTCCTGATGTCAAGCCTAAACCTCCCCTGCCTCAGCTTAACACCATTCCCGTGGATCCTATCACTGGTGTTTAGAGAATAGGTCACCTGCCTCTCCACTCCCTCTTGCGAGGAAGTTGTAGACCACGATGAGGTCCCCCCTCAGCCTCCTCTTCTCCAGGCTGAACAGGCCCAGTTAAACATACATTTAACTTAGTGGAATTTTAAGGTTTTATTGCTTGCAACAAGTTACTGAGGCAATTTAAATTTTGTGCAATGATGAACATGGCATAAGGTTTACTAATAATTAATCTCAGTTGCTTCACAAATATGGCTGCTAACATATGGCTTCTTCATGTGGTTACAATCTTCACTGCATCTTACCTTTTCAGAGTTTCAGTTGCTAAAATATTGCTCATTTTTGAGAATTTTGACTGCATCAGGTCAAAACCTAAATAGAAATGAAAAATGAAGAAGAAACACTAAAATATTCTGGGTATATTAGATGATTCATCATTTTTGTCTAAAATTTTATTAAATCTATGTAGGTCTATGGTTCCTTAGGCATGAAATGTATTATCTCTTTGACCCAGCAATTCATCCAATTTCCTTGGCATTATAAAGGATCACAGAATTTATAGTGGAAAATGATACCATATTATCAGGTCCCATTGGTTCATGGTACAGTCTGCCAATACAGGCAACCTTAAATATAGTACTGATACTCACTTGAGTAAATATAGTACTGATACTCACTTGAGTTTAACTGAAGAAATGTAATTTATTTACAGTGCAAGTAGTGCAACAGTGAAAAAAACTCACCTGTAAAACTTGCTAGAATATGGCTACAGGAGAAATAGGTTTTCATGTACATCTATTTATTTAATGTCTATGATCAGCTATAGATAAAAACTGAAGTATCACCTTATTCTGAACCACGGTGAAATTATTATCATAGAATCATAGAATATATGAGTTGTAAGGGACCCAGAAGGATCATCAAGTTCAACTCCTGGATCCCCAAAGGACCACCCAAAAAATCAGACCATGTGTCTGAAAGAGTTGTTACAATGGTTCTTGAACTCTGACAGGCTCAGTGCTATTACCACTTCCCTGCGAAAATATTCAACAAAATACCACTTCTTCTTCTTTTTTTTTTTTTTTAATGCTTCAGTGTTATTTCACTTTTGTTTTGCCCTTTTAGTTGATGTAGAACATGATGCAGAGAAGTTAAATGATAATTAACTTAAGGCTCTAAATGAGAGGTTATCATCTGTGTCTGTCTTGTCTCCTGCAAAATGTAATGACCAAGCTATATCTACAGCTTTGTGTTGCCTGGCACTTCACGTGCTTGTTGAATACAAGTCATGTTCTGCAGGTATTGCAAAGGACAGTTAACATACATGATATGCTTTGCTACTTTGATTTTTAATTTCTTGCAGTGAAGTTAAAGTTGATGGAAAGGTGTTGGCCCTGGAAAGCAGCAGGCCCTGGTGATGTGTGCTGCCTGTGGTGGGATCCTTTACTCTGAGCCCTGCTGTAGACTGCCTGTGGTCCTGGAGGAGCACTCACACCTGCAGTTTGAAACACAGCCTTTTGGCCACAAAATACAATTTATAAATTTGCAGCATAGCACAGAACTAGTTTCACATGCTGGGATGCCATTTGTCTATGCATTTGGTTGGCAAATCTGGGATGTGCTCGACAGAGGAAAGCCAGTGAAGCTGCATTTGCAGCTCAGTTGTTAAAGGTAATCCTGTGCCATGGAAATATATGCTTTCCCTCATGTCTCTCCCTAGCATTTATGCCTCATTGTGGGTGGATAGCACTCATTTATAAGCCATCCTGCTGCTGACAGTGGCCCAATAAATAAGCATTGGATATCCAACAGTTTGGGAAGCTGTGGAAGAGCGAGCCTGAGTCAGACACACCTGTCAGCCCACAGATTCACAGGCTACAACTCCCACCTACTTATAAAGGAACTGAAATCACAAATTCATTTCATGCAGACTAATGAACACTAACTAGTTGCTAAGAAAGGATTTCAGATCCTCCTTGCAGAGGAGTTTGTGGATTTGAGCTACCGAACTGAGCCAGACAGAGGACCACAACTATTATTAGAGTAATCCTTGTGCCTTTCTATTCTTTGGCACGCTACATATTTCTCTTTTAGCATCCTGCCTTTAGCTTACTAAATATTGAAGTGTTTCTATATCTCACAATAGCATGCTGAAGTCCTGACTGACACCAATACACCATTGTTTTGCACTGTCTGAAAAAAACTTTTTCCTGGCAAATGTTATCAGTGTATTTCAGTTTTCAGACTTCCTATTTACAGTGTGAAATACTTTTTTTTTTTTTTTTTTTTTTTTTTTTTTTTAAATGTGGTTATATGGTGTGCTTGTTCCAACTACCTTAATTACCTTTCTTCTTGGTGGTAACCATTGGTATAAGTGACAGAAGCATGACCAGCAAGTTGAGGGAAGTGATCTTCCTCCCTCTACTCCATTCCATTGAGACTCCACCTGGAACACTGTGTCAGGTCTAGGGCTATCAGCATAAGTACCTGAAAGAACTAGTCCAGAGGAGGGCCATGAGGATGACTGAAGGGCTGGAGCACCTCTCCTATAAAGGCAGGCTAAGAGAGGTTGGGGTTGTTCAGCCTGAAGAAAAGGCCCTGGGCAGACCTTACAGCGGCCTTCCAGTGCCTAAAGGGGGCCTACAGGAAAGCTGGGGAGGGACTCTGTCAGGGGGTGTAGTGATATGACAAGGAGTAATGGCTTTAAGCTAAGAGATGGGTTATTTAGATTAAATATTTGGAAGAAATTCTTCACTCAGAGGGTGGTGAGGCACAGGTTGCTCAGAGAAGCTGTGGATGAAAGGCCAGGCTGGATGGGGCTTTAAGCAACTTGGCCTACTGGGATGCGTCCCTGCCCATGGCAGGGGTTTGGAACTGGGTGGGATTTAAGGTCCCTTCCAACCCAAATCATTCTGTGACCCTGTGATTCTATGAAAGAAAACAAATAAAAAAAAAAAAACAAAACAAAACAACAAAAAAAAAAAACAATCAACAAACCACAGTGCTTAAAGCTATATGAAAGGGGAGCTACGAATTCTGTGAGCATCATTAAATGCATTTTCCTAATAGCAAGTTGGAGAATTATTGCATTATTCTCAGTGAATATCTCTTCCATGAGTAAGCAGGCACACAAAAAAAGATAAATGGCAAACTCTTGTAAATACAGAATAACTCCACCAAAATCCATGGGTTTGCACTGGCCTCTGAATCTCAGCAGCACAGAGCAACATCCACGAAGAGCATGTGTGTCATAGTTTGGTAGTATCAACAATAGAAAAGAAGGAATTCTTCCATTTTTAAGAACTGGAAGTTTACAATTCTTGCCCTCATTCCCAAGGGGAGAAAAGGCTGTGATAAGAAATAAAACTCAAAATGTGTTTAAATTGATATCAATACAAAGGCTCTCATAAGAATGCTCCTAGGAAAACACAGATTCTGTTTTCTGAAAATTTTCCAGAACTCATGATTTGTTTTCAATCCACCGCATAACAACACTGAGACCTTTCAAAATTTTTAACAAAGTTATAAGCAAAAGGAAAGCAAAAGAGTATGAGTCACTCTCCTGCTTAACTAATGCCACAGTGGTTACAAAACTTGCCTGGAAGGAGGAAATACTAGTTCAAGTCCATACCTTCCTTGATTTATTGTTGGGAGCAGGCCCTGGGGCTCCAATGTTCCAAGAGCTGTGCTCAGCTGGCTCTAGGACAAGAGCAAAAGCTTAAGTGCCCACAGGCTGCCTGCATGTAGACACCTTGACTTGAGTTAGGTTTACAGGGCTCCTACCCAGAAGGGGCACTCAAAGACACTAGTGCTTAACAGAGATTCTAGTCAAAAGCAAACAGTAATCAGAAAGTAGGATTAGAATTTTCTCTCTCCTCAGACTGGATCTTCATCAGTTGAAGATACAGCAGAAACCTCTAGCCACAACAGCTCCTAAAGATGCAGTGCTCACAGAGCAATAAGATGATTAAGCCTACCTACTCAAAGAAGCAAGCAGGGTTTGCTGTCATGTTTTCAGACTTTATTGTTTGAAGAATAGAAATGTTGTCCATATAATACTACTAGGCTCGTGTTTACAGTACTTATCCCATAGGTTAGGAGAGCCAAAAAAAGAGAGAGAGAGAGAGAAAGGAGCTTTAGAAAAATTCCATCTGCGTCTCTACCAAAAGGCCACCTGAGGCTCAGCGCTTGCCATAACCTTGATGGAGCAGCATCTCTCTGGGTGTAGAGCAGCAGGCTCTACTGACAGCAAGGTGGCCTGCCTGCTCAACAGGACAGGAGGGTCTGCCCCCACCCAGGACCCACAATATGAAATGCTTTTCCCTATAACCAGTCTTCATGGAGGGACACGTAACTTTTAATCTGTGTGATAATGTGCAAGATCATTCCCAGTGGTCTGCAGAAAACCCCACAGAAGTTAATAGACTTCATTAGTCTTTGGGTCTTCGTTAGTCTCCAGGTCCAGAGGAGGGCCAAAAAGTTGATCAAAGGGCTGGAGCACCTCTCCTATGAAGACAGGCTGAGAAAGCTATTCAACCTGAAGAGAAGACCTTATTGCAGCTTTACAGTATTTAAAGGGGACTTATAAAAGGATGAAGAGCAACTTTTTGCTCAGTCAAATAATGAAAGAAAAAGAGGGAATGGTTTTAAACTAAAAGAGGGAAAATTAAGAATAGATGTTAGGAGGAAATTTTTCTCTCATAGGGTGGTGAGGCAGTGGCACAGGCTGCCCAGAGAAGCTGTGGATGCCTCGTTTCTGGAGGTGTTCAACCAGGCTGGAGGCGGCTTTGGGCAACCTGGTCTGGTGGGAGGTGTCCCTGCACATGGCAGGGGAGTGGAGCTGGGTGATCTCTGAGATCCCTTCCAACCCAAGTCATTCTATGATTCTGTGATTAGTACCTTAAAATCTTTCCTTCCTTGTGATTCAGGCAGCCCCAGATCAGCTGCCTGCAGGTGGGATGACAGACTTTTTAGTGTGAAAGACCTGACAGCCATTCTAAGGAAAGGCTTTCAGTAGGTTTGAATGTGGGTAAACATATACAAGTTTTGTACTGAAGCTCAGGATGACTTTCAGAAAAATAAAATGCCAAACTGTCAACTGAGTATAGCATTGAAACCTTGAGATCGTCCATTCTTGTTCAGAAACATGAGAAGCAATGTAATTACTTCATGAGATATACTGGGAAAATATCAACCTGAATTTGCCACCCTTTTCCATTGGAGAGATATATTCTAGAAATTCAAACTCTGCACATTACCACAAAGGTTAATGACTAGCATACTGTGAAACAGAAACCTACATTGAGGAATTATTTTTTGAGAAAATAAGCTAATAAACGTCAGAGCTAATGACTTAGGGAAGAATTAAAAAAAAAAAAAAAAAAAAAAAAAACAAAAAAAAAAACAAAAAAAAAAAAAACCACTTGTTTTTAGGTCCTGCTACTACCACAGTTACACAAGTGCCAGTGCAGTGGAGTAAATAATAGTAAAATAATAGTGGAGTAAATAGTGCTGGTCTAGCGCTGAGAGTTTTCAAGATCCTCAACCTGCACACAGTAAAGGTAGTACTACTGACCTTCTCCTGAACCACATCCTCAGGTTCTTCTGTCCTTCAAAGTCCATCTTGGGAGGTGGGAATGAACAGCAGCTGTACAGTTTGGATGCATCAGGCAAGGTGAGGATGCAGCTGTGCTTCTCTGCAGAAGGCCATGATGGTGCAGTGCAATCACCTGGCAGCAGCTGCACATGAAACAAATCCCACAGCTGTCAGCATGTCCTGGCCACTTCAAGGGAAATGGCACCAACTTTGTGCCAGGTGAGTTATAGGTCAAGAGGAGTGATTAGAGGGCACAGTCAGATCACTGAGAATCCTCAGAGCACCACAGATGTATCCACAAAAGAAGATCCTTACCTGGTTTTGATAAAATTAGCATACTGAGCAGAATTGTAATTTTACTCATTCTCTTTTGGAGTTTGTTATGCTAAGTTATTGATCAAAGATTTCCTAATCAAGATAGTCTGCACAAATAGCCTAGAACTGACTTTGTGTAGTTGATACGCTGACAAATTTTACTCTACATTATTTTAATTACTAGGAAAATTATGCTCTGAGAAGAAAACTACAACAACGCCCCATCGTGCACCCTCCTCCCCACTCCCAAAGTGTAGTAGCTGAGCTACAAGAGCAGAAAACAAACACGTTACTTCTAGTAAGAAACATAAAGGTTATGAAGCAATTTTTACATATCTCTATTCAGGGGTTTAAAGCTTCTGTAGATTCCTTTGATACCTGAGAGGTCTTCAGGACTTAAAAAATAAGGACATTGTATTGAAATAACCAAAACAGATAAACAACTTCAGTCATTCCCATATGAGCATTTGCACTCTAGATTGTAAGTCTGCTCACAAAGTTCACACAGAAGGGTCCTGTAGGCTTTGCATCCTCTTGATTCTTGGAGTTTGGATGAAGTACATTTTTAGGCACCAGATATCTTTTTACTTCTCTGGTTGCCTGTGGAAGAAATTATATACGTTATATCATGAAGTAAAACAATCTTGGTATTTTTAGCTCTCTAGATACTGCCCAAGATGAGTATGAAACCAACTCACAACACTGCAAATATTGAGATTACCTTATCCTATTTATCCAGGGCACACTAGGCAAGATTTTAGGGTTAATTTCTGTAGGCTGAAGCTAACATATGCAAACAATTTTCTGGCACTACTCACTGCACAAGGCAGAATACGGCTCATAGGCCTCTAGCATGTCTAATACTTGCATTCATTTGTATGTTCAGAAACAAAACAAAATGTGTGCTCCTGTCCATCTCTCTGTAGCAGATTGCCCACAATGACTGGCATGGGATTTGTACCTCTTTCATAGCATGGTGACCCTTGCACAGCGGTTGTGAATTCAGCCACCTCACTGAGTAGATAAAGGATTTTTGTTGCTGTTTGGGCTGTAATTTATGCCATTGTTTGCTTTAGGCTCCCTTATGCATTTAAATAGTAAAGACATTTCTCACTGTATGAATTACTGAAGTGCCCCCATTCTGTTCCTTTTCTTTGTGGCTGAAGTTCTCAGACATTTCCATACCAAGGTCAATCATCCTGCCAAATCTCTGCCTTGATGAGTCTGGGAGGGGCAGGTTGGCAACCATTCCCTGCTTAGGGCACAAGCTCATTTCTCCCCCTTCTGAGAGCTTCCAGGAGGTGGCACTTAATACTGAGCCACAGGCTGTGAAATTGTGATCTCCTCTGCTCCACTAGGACAGAGGCACATCTTGTTGACCTGTGCTGGCCACCAGCACGAGGAGACTCTTTGGGTAAGAAATTGACAAAGGGTGCAGGAACTGGCAGGCTTTAGCAGCTCTGCTGGGTATGAAAGCACACTGGTGACATTGCCCACATATCCTTTGCACAGGTTAATCTCTTCCAGTTAAAATCAACTGTTTTCTGCTGGATTAAATTTGTACTTATGAAGTTTTTGATACATTACAGGAAGAGAACCATGACCTCAAAGGTGCATATATGAAAGGTAGAAAGAGAGTAGTCTTTTTTGGTTGGCTGTTTTTCAATCTTCTTGAAAAACAGTGGATCATTAGTTTCTACATCAATGAAAAGAGTGACTTCATCTTTCTTCCTGATCATTGGGAAACAAGCAGTAAAAAAAGCACCGTATCCTCTCATTGTAATAGTAGTATTTCTTTATTGCTGGGTCAGCAATGGGCAGTTTTAATCTAGATAAAATCTGGTTAGAAGGGAATCTTTTGTTGTAAACTGAAAGGTTGAATTTGATATTTAAAAATTGCTATTAGGCTTCCCCTGTAGATGTGTTAGATACTGATGCTGGTCTATTATACTCTACTGTCTGCCACAAAGATATTTTTATGAAGGTTTTGTTCAGTGCAATTAAAATCCATTTATAATTGTCAAAAAATATGGAAGCTGTGCAATATGAATATATTCAACATCTCTGACATATTCCTGACCCAAGCTGTCCTCTACTTTTTCCTGTTTCTAGCCTCGCTACAAAGTTCAACAGACTCACCCGAAGGATAGCAGCACCATCTCGTGGGTACATTTAATAATTACAGTAGTAAAACCAGAGAAGTAAAACGTATAGCAGGCTGTTTTCTCATTTCAAGCAGTGACTGGGCGCAACGTCTGCTCAGGACAACGTCCCACCAATGGGCAAAACTGCATGCAGAAGTGAAGCTTCCTGAGGTGGACTCCTTCACAAACTATCCAAAACCCAATTTAGCAGTTAAAAAATATATATAATCATCATCAACAACAACAAAAAAACAACAACAAACAGAGACTAGACATGGCTTAACATTAGCCATAAAAATATTAGTTTGGACTCCAGGGACATTGCAATGATGCCACACTAAGGAATAGAAAAAAATCCTGTGAGAATAAAAATGCAAAGTAAAAATTACTATTTTTACTTCTCATGGAACAGACACACAAAGCAGTATTTTTCTTGTGTTGATCTTGAACTATTTTGTTTGTTTTTAGCTATTTCCAGCTATGTTTACACTTTCAAGTGTACAAGTCAAGCCAAGTAATTGGCAGCAAACCTTTAATCAAGAGTGGGCTTTGAGTACTTTTCACCACTTGCAACATTTTAGCACAGGTATGCTGCATGCTGGTGGCTCAGACATGGGCACACCCACAGGTGCTTGGTACATAATCCATAGTAACAACACCCCATGGAGTTACAGGTGGAAAAAATAAATCATGTGTGTCCTAAACAGCCTGACCTCATTTGCACCAGGGCATCAGGATTTCTATTCTCCAGGGATTTCTATTCACCAGTGTGGGATGAGGGCAGTTTACCTGAGCTACAGGTGGAACCCTAGGGTGAGCATCAAGGAACTCATCCTGCCCTGTTCCTGCTTCTGTCTGCAGTATTCTGTAAACATAACCCTCCTTTTGCTTCTAAGACTTCATTTTAATACTTTTTAGTTTTAATAAATTCATTTCAGTAAGATTTTTCATTCTGTATAGACCAATAAAAACAGTGTTTAAACACAGGTATAAATTGTCACATGCCCCTCATCAACACCATGGGAATCAGTAGAAATAAAATTAATAGCAGTGCTAAATGTACCTTGACAGAGTACATCCACAGTATTGTGTGTGTATGTCTTACACATGGCATACCAAGAAAGGAAAAAGAAAAACATTTTATGAAGTTGACATTAATATATATATAATTTGAGAAACACAGGAAAAAAGTTAATCTGCAACTTCTCTAAAAACAATGCTGTGCTACATTCAGAGCACCCCGTTATAGTAACAGACACTGCCGAAGAAGAGGGAATAAGGCCAGTTATTGTGGCTGATATTTGCCAATATCACTTTTTTTGCTGCTTTCATCGTATTTTGCTGGCTTGAGCGCAGTGCGTTGAACTGCTGCCCTCCTGTGGCTGAAGGCTCGCTCTCGCTGAAGCTGAGACGCCCCAGTCGCAGGGGGTTTGCCACAGGAGTAGTTACCTATGCACAGAGATTTTATGAACTTTGAGAGGATGCACAATTTAAGCTCAAAGCAGCACAAACAGCTTATTCTCACTGACTTCAGAGGATGTGAAGTAGATACTGGATGCTTGAGATGAGCTTTGGGCAGTAATTCTTGATACATTCAAAAAAACATTCAGTGTTTGCTGTCCACAGTGCAATGGAGTCTTCACCAAGGAACAGCTCATCCAAAACCAAAAGGGATAGCTCACATTCAGTGACAGACATGCTCAGCCAGGCTGGGGAGTGGAAACAAGTACTGCCTGGCACAAGTTGTAAGGTATTCAGAAATGTCCTAGCAGCCAGCAATAGTGTCTGGGGTCTTTAGACAATGATGGGGACCCTTCTGTGTGAATCAGTCGTTCCCAAAAGCATGACAATATGGGTCATTAGAAATTGGAGCATGCACCAGAAACGCAAATACAATCAGCACTACTTTTGCTTCTAGCCCCTTTGGGCAGGTGTTTGTTTTGTAATTCCTTCTTACTTGATTTTTGGGTCTGAGTATCCCCAGCTGTTAACAGCTGGAACATTTAACCCCTTTCCTCTCTGAGCCAATTCTACACTTAGCTTGGCTGATCTTCCTCAGCAACAAATGTGAGCTGGCCCCTGTCCCACTCCCAAAGCCATCCATACGCAGCACTCTTCAGGGAACACTTGACAAGATGGGTCTCAGCCTCTGCAAGCTGAGCCTCTGACAAGCCCCTGCCCAGCAACTGCTGCTGGCAGGCACCCCACAGCACTCTTGCTCCTTTCCTTCACAGGCCAACTCATCAGCAAGAGATTGCATTTCACCAAGACTTTACAAAAGACCAGACATTTTTGAAAGTTACAAGATAGTAAAATGCAAATGAAGAAAAATTTAAAATAGGTGACGATTTTGTTATATTAAATTATAATTGTATCATATTAAAATGAGTAAAATGTCAAAAAAAAAAAAAAAAGAATGGGAGTATAAAGTGAATTACCCTAAATTTTAAGTTTGAAAATATTTAATAATCATAATTACACCTGATTAACAAATCAGATTTTCTCACTAGAAAAATCAAAACAAAACAAAACACAAAGTATTTTAAAATGCTTATGGATGTATTTTATCTTTAATTTTTGTCATTCAAAGATCTGGAAAATCCTTACAGATTTTTTTTTTTTTCCCACAAACATTTTTGTCTCAAAGACAAGTTATAATTGGAAAGACATGTTGAACAAAATTTTGATTAGTTCTTATAACATAGACTAATATTCAGGAAATAGGAATAGACATGAAGGACAAACCAACTATTAATGATCCACTTTTCAAATGCAAA